CTACTACATCTAGGAGGCAAGCCACCGTCGGGCGGGCATTCCTCTAAAGGGTGTTGCAAAGGCGTGGTTTGCTTTCTAAAAACAAAGGCCCATTCTCATTTTTGGATACGTTCCCATTTTTCCCGTAAGTAAGTCTGTTCATTACTGGACGGGTCCCTACGAGGTATTTATTTATTTATTTATTTTTGCCTTCCGACAATTGCAGATGTACCTCAGAAAACTTTCACTTAATGTCTCATACTCTACATGAATATTAAACCAATACGAAGTACAACAACATATGTAGGACTTATTTCTACTGTCATTTACATCGTAAAAGTATCTCCTCTTCAACTTACCAATGACAATAGAAATAAGTCCTACATATGTTGTTGTACTTCGTATTGGTTNTGTTGGAAAAGCCCTTTCATCTCCGTTCATGATAACATCTTACCCTATTCTACGCAAGTCTGTCACATCTACTCTCAAACAAGGTATTTTTTGTTGGACCAGGAAAAGGACCGGATGGCAAAGAAGTGGAACCCAAGGTTTTATTACTCGAAATAAGTAAGGATGAGCCAGGGAAGGGGGTTAATGAGAGGGTGTCAGTGCATCGATGCAAAAAGTGTTACAATGCGTTCGACAAGGGGGACAAACCTAGGTTTTTTCCTTGGGCACTGAGCACGGATGTGTTGAACAGATACTCGGAATTGGCACCTCCCTTTCATCTCACAGAGAACGATGTTGAGGAAGAATTGGACAGACGACAAATGAATCCATATAAACTTTCGAGGCATCGCATTTGCCGAGGGATATATAAGTGGAAAGATCGCTGTACAATATTACACGCATTGGACGGGATTGGAAAAGTGTACTTGGGAACATGAGGTGGAATTGGAACAATATGGCGATGTGGTGATGTTATATTGGGCACAACAGCCAGAACAAACCGCAGGAGGAAATGCCATACATCGGAGGTACAGGGTGCAAGTGGCGAAGAGACTAGCTGCACATAAAGTGGGGGAAAGACATGTGGCGAAGGGTTACACGTTATGTTGTGATGTCAGAGGGAGACCTGATATTTCAACTGCTGACCTAATCGGATCGTACATCTATTACAAAACGAAACGAGCAGGGTGGCAATTTGCGGTGGTGACACAAGTGGGGGTGGATCAAGCAACTGGAAAGACAAGGCACACGATCAAGCTGCTGGACGTCGGAAAACATATCAACGTGGAGCTAAGGGAGAGCGCGCTAACAACGGATAATAATCTGGTGCAGCAACCTGGAACTTGGTGCTGGCATGCTCATGCTACCAACAAGTCCGTGAAGAAATACATGTTTGCATTGGAATTAGACTATGAGTGAATGGTAAGGATGAGACTGACTATAGTTACAAGAGTGAACGCAGGAAATATGGTGGGAATTGACTGGAACAGAAAGAAGAGTGAGGGATTGAAGGAAGATTTGTATGGAAGGAACTGTAGGCAACAGGCATGAGGAGGACATGGACAACAATGAGAAGCCTTGTGAGTGTAC